GCCTCAGCATTTTTTGAAGCTCCTCGGTAATTCCAGTGTTCAAGTTTTGGATTGAGATCCACTGTCTTAGTGGGTGTGGACAGTGTTCCCTCGAAGGAGTAGTGAGCACTTTGGATCATGGGTCAGACACACTTAGGTAGGTGTAGAGGCCAGGGTCTGAAGGTGGGAAATGTGCAGGGGTGAGACTCATGCACGGCACCACTCTAAAGAGTTGGGATGTTAAGTTATGTAAGATTTTCAGATCTTAAATGTATGCAGTAAGGGAGGAAGAAGGAAGTGAATCGAAAGCGGTGTGTTGCCTGCCATCGGCAGAGAACCAGGGAGGAAAGGGGCACTGAGATCAGCATGCTCAAAGAAACTGGCCTGCACCAAGATCCTGCAGATGGACTTCGTTATCTCCTCTTTTATATGTGAGGAAACCAAAGCCTGGGAAAGTCTGGAAGCTGGAAGGAGCATAGGGTGTCTGAAATTCAGTCGTTTCAGTTGCATAGCACACATCCTTCTCCAAATTTCCCCTTTGCTAGCTCCCCAAATTCTGACTCCTTCAAGTGTCATTTGATGTCTCACTTGTTACGTTTTGTTGTATTTGCCTTTTTGTTTGGTACAGATAAAAAATAATGAACCTTTGATCAACGTGCTTTACAAAGTGCTGAAGAAGTCAGCACGGGGCTGTCGGCCCAGGAGAAGCGTAAGATGATGATATGTGTCTCCAAGTGGGGCCATTCCATCGCTTCTGGATCACTTGCTTAACTGGGGTGCTCTCCTAACTGCCCCAGGCTTCCTGCTCATCATTTCAGTTTATTTTCTTTGTATTAATCTCCCTTCAGCATTCTGGCTGATGCACCAGGCTGAGCCTCTCATCTGTGATGTTCTGTGACTCCATCTTCTTTGCTGCCATGGGGTGCAGGGCTTGCCTCGCTTGCCTCCAGTTGTGTTGTGTTCCCATCCACGCTCTGCCCCCATGCTGAGGGCTCACCTAGACAGAGACTAGTGTGGTCTGTTAGGAGATTCTTGGGAGGGAGCAGCACTTCCCAGAGACCTTAGAGGAACCTGGTATCCTCAGATTCTACCATGGGCCTAGCTTAGGATAACTCCTCCTGGCAGAGTGTTGATGTTTGAAAACATGCCAGAACTATTGGATTGTCAGAAAAGTCACGATGTGCTTTTTCTGTTTTTCAAGCAAAAATGCATCACAACTTTTCCAGCAACCCAACAGAACAAAATAGGCCTCCCACCTCCCCTGTGACGCAGAAGTAGTACATGAGATGTGGCCAGCTTTTGTAGCTTTCCAAGGAAGGCCGCAGGTTGGGACGCAGGTGCTGTGTCTGGCTATCCCCAGCTCCAAGGAAAGGGGTGCTGGGATGTGGTGGAGGGGAGGTAGGATTCCGGGTGGCCTATGGCAGACACTTTCCAATAGATGAGTGCCTGCTGATTTTCTTTCTCTCATGACAGATGCTGGGGACCCACAGTTGACATTTTAAATGTATTTAAACATTGCTCTCACAAACTGCAATTAAAAAAATTAGATGTGATATGCCACCTGAGGATATTTCATAGTAACCTCCACTCTCTGGAACAAAGCAAAATTCAGAGCCTGAAAGACCTCTGAGCTGTGCAAACACTATCAATAGCTATCATGAGAAAGCTGTGGAGCCACATTCTTAAAACTTGTGACCTTTACACCATAGGGAGTGGTCTTGCGCCATGACCACAGCCAGCTTGGTTTTGTTACAGTCACAGACACGTTAGGCAGACATTTCCTGAATATCCTCAATATGCTAGTCCTGGGCTGGACTGAGGATTCAGAGAAATACCTCTGGTCCCCACAGGCACTGCTAATTAGATTACTGGGTAGTGCGGGGGGGTGTGGCTGGCAGAACACCATCACCCGAGGACCAAGCCCCAAGTCATGAGGGACACAGGTGAGGGAGGAGCTCCCCGTAAGGGCAGAGACCCAGCAAATGTGTCACCTCTGTTGAGTCCCTAATCCTAACAAAATTAGTCATTTGAATTCCAGCCACACATTAAAAGGGCATGAGAGAAAAATACTTCTAAATGAAGAGGGACTGCCAATATCCTGCTGGAGAGATGGAAACATATATGTGTATTTAAAATGGAAATGAAAGCACAGCGATTTGGAGGCACTTTGTCAAGGGGCACTTCTAAGAAACTATGTTACTGATTTTTATAATGACTGATTCTTCCTAAAAATGGCTGAATTTATATTCAGTGTTCTATGAAGACAGCAGAACACATACTTTGAGAATGCTTTCTGTCAAAATGTTTAAAAGATTGAGTTTCTCAAAATGCTCTTTTTGTGTGGAATACCTCTCTCCTTTCCTGGTGGTGCTGGGTAAATGAGGCATTGCTCAATTAGATTCTCTGCCCTGCTATTTAAGTATCAGAAAAATATCATCTATAAAATGCTTCAATGAAATAAGGGGAAGAGCTTTGCTGGGAGGGAAAACTCCCCAAAGCATATCTCAGTTTATTTTTTATTTATTTATTTTTTTTTTTAAGAGGCATGTTTATTTATTTATTTGTTTGTTTGTTTTGTTTATACATGCACTGGGTACAGTCAGAAGCGCGGGAGGGTGAGAGAATTCACCAGAGCCAGAGCGGGGAGCAGAGCAGGCAGAAGGACCGAAGTACACTGCTGAGGGGAGCAGCGGGCGGCAGGAGAGGTCTGCGCGCCATGTGGGACCCTCCGCCGGTGGCCGGGGAGCAGCTGGGGATCGAACCGGCGCCGCAGAGGCCGCGGGCAGCTTCGCAACCCAGCGCTCAACCGCTGCGCCACCGGGGAGGCCCAGCATATCTCAGTTTAAAAGGAATTTCCGCCTAGGAAATGAACCAAGGGTCACTTAGTTGGAGACTACTCAAGGCTCTTTGTCCCCTTTGCTGGGGGACTGTTATACAAAATGAAGACCTCGTACCTTTATCTGCTCCCCAAGTGCTGCGTGGGAAGCTGAGATGTTTGAGGGTCACCAGGATTAATCCCACCCTGCCTCTCCTCTTCCACTTTCTTCCCTCCCTCTCCCCTTGCCCTGGAAGCAGCCAGCTTGGCCTGCTGGTTCGTGAATTGTCGCCATAGTCCATGTCCTGTGACTGTGTGTGTAAGTGTGCGTACACGTACTCTGCCAGTTTGAAGAGCAGAATTTGCTGGAGTTCTACTTTTCCCAAGAACTCTGACCTACCTGTGCTTTTCTTTTGCCAACCTGCAGTGCAGTAAGCTTTTGCAGAGTGCCTACTGTGTGCTAGCCTTGCGTTCTAGGCTGACCATAAGTCAGCCTCTGCTCTGTTACCAGAGGTAGCCAGGGAATTGGGGGTGGGTGGGTAGGGTCTGCAACCCAAACTCAGTCTGCAGCCCAAGTATGAAGAGGCCATTCTCCCTTGACCTTTAGATTTGCTGAAGAGAATTGTCAGGGAGAGAGAGTTTATGACACTTGTGAGCATGGGTGGCTTGAACACTGAGAGGAATACTTGCTGATACAGATCTTTCTCTTAATATGGGGTTATGTCTGACACCCATCGTAATTTGAAAATATAGTTGAAAAAGCATTTAACTCACCCACCCACTGAACATTAGCCTCATCTGCCTTAAACATGCTCAGGCACTTACATTCCTGCAGTTGGGAAAATCCCTTACCGAGTCTAAATAGTGACATGTTGACTATCTCAGACACAGTTGGGCATTTTGTAGATAGCATGGAATATGGAAACACAGAACACAATATCTAAAAAACTCTGGCCGCGCAGGACACTATAGAGTATGGGTTGTTCATCCTCATGATCAACTGGCTGATGCGGAGCTCTAGCCTGGGAAAAGGTCAAAATTCAAAGTATGACTTCTCCTAAATATCACTTTTGCACCATCATAAAGTAAAAAATTCCTAAGTAGAACTACAGTAAGTTAAGGACTCTGTTTATTTCTGCCTCTGATTCTCATTCTTCAATGTACTGAACTTCTTTAGTTGAAACAGGAAGAAAGTGAGGGCCATTTTTCTAGCCACTGTCTGTGCGTACACACTGGAACCCTCAGCAAAGCACACACCCTGCCTGTCTCTGCTGTTGTTAATTCCACCTTCCGTTTTCATCATGGTGAGATGTGCAGAGTTCTGCAAGGGGTATGTTAGACCTGGTTATCTCTGACTAAGGCGTGGCCTTGGGGATACATCTGTGAAAAGTGCCCCACCCCTGCTCAGCTGGGTGAATTTGCTGCAATTCTGAGGGGAATGAAAACATGGGCTAAAGCACTGGATTTAGTTTCATAGGAGTCAGTGAGAGACGGGCCTTTTATTACCCATGTTGGGTCGAGAGAGGGTTGGGCGACATGAAATCCTACTGGTCTGTAAATTTGGGTGACTTTTGCCTGCTGCTTTGTGGTTGCCTTTCTTGAGAGAGCAGGGTAGCCTCATTTATTCAGGATCAATTAGAACTCCAGCCAGAATTATCCAGCCTCCTCCTTCCTTTGACCAGATCCTCTTCCTAAACAGTGTTGGTGAGGAAGGCAGACCTTACTCAGGGGAGCTGGGCTGCGCGGGGACTTCCTTAAACTAAGGCTTGACAATTGAGGTGGGGGGGGGGCGGGCTCCTCCTGGGCCACGTGCCCCTCTGCTCTGGGTTCTGTCACCTGTGTTTGATGCGAGGTTTAGTAGCAAAGATCTCTCATCAGTAGCAAATCCTCTAAGATTTATACTAAACTCATTTTGGGCAAATATAACCATCCGCCTAATGATACTATAACTTCAATGTCTGTATTTTCTGTAATTTGGGAAACTTACAAGGGCTTCTTAGATCTCAAGAAGGATTTGGTTTTTCCCTAAAATGAAAAAGGCATGAAAGTAAAGTGCATATCGCCCAAGCTTTAACTCCTTTCATGCTGTGACCCTCCCTCCCATTGCCAAGACTTCCATATCCATCCATCGTGGGGCTAACTTTCCTTGCTGAGTTATGAGCAGGAACACCGTGGTAAAGTCTCCTTTAAATTGTTCCCCTCCCAGATGACAGGCCGGGACCTTCTCAAGGACCGAAGTCTAAAGCCAGTGAAAATCGCCGAAAGTGACATTGACGTGAGTGAACATGTTGTCAGGCTGCCCCCCTTGGCTGCCCGCTGGCTGCCTCCCCTTGGCTGCCCGCTACCCCAAACCCAGGGTGGGAGTTCCAGGCAGGGTTTAGATGGTTCTGTAGCCAAAGGCTTTCGGATCACACTCCAAGGCCATGCCCCTTTTCAGTACCCCAGGCCCTCTCCAACCTGTTCTTGCTCGCAGGTCAAACTGAGCATCCTTTGTGAACAAGACAGGATCCTCCAGGATTTGGAAGACAAGATACGAGCCCTCAAGGAAAACAAAGTACGCATCAGTTTTGTATAATCTTGGGCTGGGTGGAGGGGGGTTTTGTTGCTTGTCTTTTCTCAGACACAGACTGGACTTTCATGTTAGTACTGAACAGCAGGTGTTAGTTTATCCAGAGCAAGTCTTTGGGTTTAAAAGGTATTTCATGGGGGTTTCTGTCTGAACCTGGAGGAACTCTTACAGGGATCAGTCTGATTTCTCCAAGTCCTACTTTCTGCTCCCTCCCCTCTCAATTCTGCTCTGGCCCCCATTCCCTGGAGGCTCTGAGAAGGAGAGTCTGAGAAAGGAGGGCTCTACTGACTGGTATGTGACGACCTCAGCTCCTGAACCCCAAGGAAGGGGCTACTTTGGAGAGAGTAGCTGCAGTTCTAACAGGGTAGTGACCTCGCTTTCTAAAGTTCCTTTCCTCCTAGGATGAGGGCTGTGAGGAAGCAAGTATGGGTGGGAGGGTAGGTCACCAGGGCTTCCCTGATGTTTGGCCCCAGACACTTAGTGTAAGGTTTTTTTTTTTTGTATTTTTAATAAAACACTTTATTTGTGGTGCTAAGATTTGTAACATGCCCTTTTTCCCAGGAGCTGAAAGCATTTTCCTTGACTTCTTAGTTTATCCCATAAGTAGATGGTCTTACGCCTACTTTATACATCAGGAAACTGAGGAGCAGAGCTGTTATGTGATTTGCCCACTCAGTGGATGGAGTCAGAGCTAGAATCAGAGATCCTGTCAGGCTTCTTTCGGCCTCAGTTGGGCCCAGCAGGTCTGTTTAGTTCCTGGAATGGTACAGGGAAGCCTCCTGGGACTGTCCTGCTATCTTCTTGCTCTCTGGCCCTTGCCTGGTACAGGACCAGCTAGAGTCTGTGCTGGAAGTGTTGCACAGACAGATGGAGCAGTACCGGGACCAGCCCCAGCACCTGGAGAAGATTGCCTACCAGCAGAGGTTGCTGCAGGAGGACCTCGTCCACATCCGGGCCGAGCTCTCCAGAGAGTCCACTGTGCGTAGAGGGTGTGGAGGGTGGCAGACACTCCTCTTCTTGACCCCCAGGATGGTCTAGGAAGGGGATTGCTTTTCTCATCTTCCAAACTATAGCTGAATTGGTGGTGAGGGGTGAGAGTCTTATCATTTACCTTGCCCAGGGGTGACATGTCTGTCCCCAGTCATGTGTTAGGGTACCCTGTTTTCCATCAGCGATTCCTGGATGGCTACAGTAACCAAATTTCTCTGAACTGCCTAGAAGGCTAGTCCCCTGATCTGTGTGCAGTTTATTCTAAATGTCAACACATCTACTTCTTTATTGTCCATCTGATGTGATACAGGCCCTCTCTGCCCAGGAAGCAAAGCATTCCCAAGAGGGGTGTTGGGGGAAAATATAGCTGGCCAGGGTTGGACTAGGTACTCTGGACTCCCCTCTTTCCATGGTTGGGTTAACAGTGGACACCTGTGCATCTGCCCACGAGGCCTGGGGGCTGGGGATAACTAAGAATCAGAGCATTTCCTTGACCAACAGGAGATGGAAAATGCTTGGAACGAATACCTGAAGTTGGAGAGTGATGTGGAGCAGCTGAAGCAGACCCTGCAGGAGCAACACCGAAGAGCCTTCTTTTTCCAGGTATCAGGGGCTCTTCTTCCTTCTGAGCTCTCATTTTTATTGCTTTCACCCATGGGCACTGTGAGTACTACTGAGGGCCCTTCTTCTCTGCCCCCAGAGCTAAGACATTTACCACCCCAGCTCTCCCTTGGGGATGCCTTCCCCTGCCATGGCTGTGATAAGAAGCATTACCCTACCAGCTCCCTTCGCCTCTTTGCTGCCAACAAGAAGCTAGTGGGCATTTTTGTAAGGGTTTAACTATTAAGTATTTTGGGGAAAGCCCCAAGTAGAGACAAATACCAGACTTCAGAACCTTATACTTGAGAGTAATCTGTGTTCTTGATCCAATCTTGGGTTCCTCTCTACTCATTTAGGCCACAGCCCTTCTTTCCCTCCTCCAATTCCTGATGATATATGTGATCCAACCTTTTCCTGAAGAATAGAGAGAATCCAGGCCCATGGAAGTGTCTCTGGTCCCTAGGCAGTCATTGTATTTCTGGAGGCCAGGCCAGGAGACAGCCAGTTACTGTCTCCCCTGCCCCGTTCAGGAAAGGCAGCCTTAGGTCCCTGCCCTCCTCTGTCCTTAAACACCAGGCCACCCTTTTGATAGCTGCTTTTGCCCCCATAGGTGAGAAAATAGGCCCTGTGCCATTTCTCTTTTTATAGGTTGGGGCCCCAGCTGCCCAGCATGCCCTCATTTGTTTTCTACAATTTCCCTTCATTTGAGTTGATAACATTTTCCTCCTTCTTAAAATTGTATGCCTAGAACTTAGCACAGTCTTGAAAATACTAGGTGAATATTGTTGGCAAAGACCTTCAAACAATTATTTCTAGTTACTAGTTCCTTGAATTGGCCTGTCCTGTCATACCTATCCTCTTGGACATTAATCATCTGCATTAAGTTTAGGAGCAGTAATTTTAGCCTTTCATTCCATGTGTTTCTATAATTATACAAGTAGCACATGAATATATCTCTCTGAAAGGACCAATGACAAGCAGAAACAAAAAACAAAGCTCCCTTTTCCTCCCCTTTTTGCCTGGTTCCCTATAGTCAATCAGGGAATCAGTTTGTACTGTTGCCTTCCAGACTGTTTTCTATGCATTTCTAGACATATATAGAATCATATAGTTTATTTGGGGATGGCAGTTGGGTTTTCTTAAGGAAAAACCACCTTATGCATTTTGACATGCTTTCTTTGTCATAACTTTATGTTGTACAAATCTTCCCAGACAAGACACCCCCAAGTGTGTGCTGCCCACTATGGTAGCTATTTACATTTAAATACAAATCAGTAAAAATTAAAATTATATTCCTTAGTCAGACTAGAATCATTTAAAGTGCTCCATTGTCATACGTGGCTTGTGGCTGCTGTATCAGACAGCCTGGATTATAGAAGATGTCCATAATTTTAGAAGGTTGCTTTGGACAGAGTTGATGGAAGTAAATGAAATTAAATGAGTTCTTCTCAACTGCTATATAGTATTTCATAATCTGAATATACTGTATTTAGCCATTCCTCTTATGCTGGGCATTTATGTTATTTGCAGCACTTTACTTTTATAAACTATGCTACAACAAACCTGTATATAACTTCCTCCTCAGGCTGGTTTACAAGCATTTACCTAAGGTAGGCTCCTGGGAGTAGACCTGCTAGTTTGAAATTGTGTCCACCTTAATTGTTAACGGATACCACCAAATCTCTTGAAACCGTGCACTCATTTGCCCTGCCACCTACAGTGAGTGAGATTACTGACCTGTTTGCTCATATCCTCTCCAGCACTCGATGCTATCAGTCTTTTTAGTTTTTGCCAGTGTGCTACCTGGAAATAAAAGAACATCTTGTTTTAATTTGCACTTATTTAATTACCAGTAGGTTAAACTTCTTCCGTGTGGTTATAGGCCCTTTGCATTTCTACTCTTATTTCATAGTGATTTACTATGCAGCAGACCCAGAATCCTTTCCTCCCTGCAACCCCCCTCAAAAAAAAAATGGGTACAATATAACCCATCTTGTGGCAGACTCCCTGGAGAACTTGGTCCCTAAGTTATGAGGCCAGTGTGAAGCCTGTGGCTTGATTTCCCCAGCCCAGTGGCATTGCTCATGCTTTTCCCAAGTGCCACTGTGACCTGGGAAGCTCACAAAGCCCTTCTTTCAGCAGACTCTGTGCTCGCTTCCTTGCTGTAACCCTAGCCCAGGTGAGCTAGAATTACAGCAGTAAGTCATTCACTCTGGAGCTGTGCTTAAGCCCCTCAGACGAATTCACCCCCCTTTAGCCAGGGTGGGCTGTGAGAACATTCATAGCATTTTTCAGTGAAGAGGAGTGGCTTTATTAGGACATCTTGACAGCCACCTAGGCAGAAGTTCGAGGATAAAAGAACATCCAGGTAACTGTGGGAGGCAGTGAGGCGAGGTGAGGTGAGGTGCCTGTAGGTCTCCCTCCTTTCGGACAAAGAGCTCAAGCCTTTGCCGATGCCATCACAAGAGCCTTCCTGCCTATCGTGGTGTGAGCATGATCGGAATGAAACCCCACTCCATTGCTCCCCCAAAACTTCCTTCATCTTGTCATTAAGTTCTGAAATTCCATCTCCCTTGGAGAAAGAGAGAAGTTCTCTGACTCCTGTTCCTTTCTTACACGCGGCCGGGACAGAAAGGCAAGATGGGGGCAGGGTTAGGGACAGACAGGTAGCAGTATGCCAGGCGACCTGCCGGGGGAGGACAGAGGAGAGAGAGTTGATTTTAATTCCATTGTCCTCCTTCACCTGTTCCCAATACTCCACCTGGGGACCTCGGCTGTAGAGATAATGCTGTTAGCTTAGACACACACTCTGTGTTCAGTGGCACATCTGTTTTAGGACACACAGACGTCAGTGTGGCACTAAGCAGCAGCCGATTTGCTTGTCTGTCCTGAGGCAGTGCGTCCGTGTTAGAAGGGTGCAAAGAGGGTGAGCATGTGAGCCCCCTTAGGACAGTGGGCTTCGGACAGCTGTGGTCTCAGCTGTTGGAAAGCGTTTGATCAGGAAATTTTACCCTGTTGGTCCCTTGTTCATTCAGCATACACGCAATGAGAACCTGCGGAGCACATGGCCCTGCGGGGATGCGTCTGGAGCCCATGGTCTAGTTGAGGAATTGGACCCTTTGTCTAGTGGTGGCTGAGGGGTCCCTTGAGAGGACAGGGGGTGGGGAGTCTTCCTTTTTAAGTCCGTGGGGTAGGACCATGGCTGTCCTCCCCCATGATGACTCTAAAATCAAAATCACACTCTTTGATGTTTATTCCCTTATTGCTCACCTCTTTGCAGGCCTCTTCCCGTCTGGTCTCGGTGGCAACTTGTCAGTGTGCATTTATTTATGTAGTCTGGCTTTTATCCTGTTGTACTTTTTTAAAAATGAGAGTTAATTTTTTATATAAGTCACATACTATAAAATTCACCATTTTACAGTATACAATTCAGTGGTTTTTATGGTAGATTCACAGAATTGTGCAAACATTGCCACAATCAATTTGATAGCATTTTAATTATCCAGCAAAAGAAACTCTGTCCTATTAGGAGTCCTCCTTCATTCTCCCCACCCCTGTTCTGACCAACCACAAATCTGCTCTCTGTCTTTATGGAGCTACCCAGTCTGAATATTTCACATAAATGGAATCCTACAGTAGCTGGCCTTTTGTCTGACTTCTTTCACTAAGTGGAATGTTTTCACGGTTCATTTTGTTGTGGCAGACATCGATACTTCTTTTCTTTTATTGCCACATAATATCCACTGCCCTTTGTACTCTTAACTGAACCCCAAATCCCAGGATTCAGCTTTGTCTTTGAAGAATGTTCTTTATAGTCTAGGGATGGTGGCAGCCTTGCCTTTGCTTCCCTTCTGTGTGGTTGCCTGAGACAGTCTGTGAAGATTGTGGTAAAATACGTCTGAATGAAAGGTGTCATCTTGGCCTTTTTTTAACACTTAAACCATTGCTGTGCACGCAATCTCCAGAGCACTCTTCACCCTGCAAAACTGAAACACTGCCCGGTAGGCACCCATGTCCCATTCCCTGGCCTCCAGCCTCAGGTCCTTGCTCTTCCAATTCTGAATTTCTCTTCTCTAGCTAACCTCATGCACAGGAAGTGTGCAGTATTTAGAGCAGTCTGTTGTTAAGTCAAGTAGAACTAGGGGATGTGGCATGGTGAGCATTCCTTTGAAAGTCCCTCCTTTGGACCTTGGGCATTTTCCATCTGTTCTTTTCTGTGAAGTGTAAGGCAGACTTGGCTCTCATCTTGACAAGGTTTCCCCAAAGGGCTGTTACCCTCCCAAGGTGAGAGACTTTGTCTGCAGCAGCAGCAGCAGCATAAATCCTAAGAAAGAACTTCTGGTAAGGAGCTAAGAAGGACATGAGCCACCACCTTGTCTTCTCAGGAGAAATCACAGATACAGAAGGATTTGTGGAGGATTGAAGATGTCACCGCGGGCCTGAGTGCAAATAAAGAGAATTTCAGAATTCTGGTGGATTCCGTCAAAAATCCAGGTGAGTGGGCCTTAGTCCTGGGGTTGGGTGTTGGACGGTGGGGTGTCCTTGGGGACGTCTGGGCTTCCTGGTACCAGTCACTCCTCCTGTCCTCTGAGGGAGAGGGTCTTGGATTTACCCCATCCTTTTTCTCCTTCCACACCCCTCAGAGAGAAAAACGGTGCCTTTGTTTCCTCACCCGCCTGTGCCTTCACTCTCGACTTCTGAGAGCAAGCCGCCCCCACAGCCCAGCCCTCCCACCAGTCCCGTGCGGACCCCTCTGGAGGTTCGACTCTTCCCCCAGCTGCAGACCTACGTGCCGTACCGACCTCACCCGCCCCAGCTGAGAAAAGTCACATCGCCCCTGCAGTCACCCACCAAGACGAAGCCCCCAGTTGTGAGTACCCGTAGCCGGGATCTGCGCGCCCTCATTTTCCCTCTACCAGATGATTGTCCAGATCTGGCTCAGATCGGCTTCCCTTGGGAGAGAAGCTTGGGAAACGTGGGGAGACAGACCACCAGGATCTTGAGAGAGCCCTGAACCACAGTGCCCTGTGCTCCCAGAACTGGAAAGGCCTTTCAAGATGATCGAGCCCAACCTTCCCACCTTGTCGCTGGGCAAACTGGGGCCTGGCAAGAGGAAGTAACTGTGCTGAGTAGGGTGGAGTTTGTGACATGCTATTCCTGGCTGCCCCAACCCCATGCAGACCTGCAGCCACACAGCCCGTGGGCCACAAGCTCATCCCAGCACAGGGGTGTAAGAATCGGAGGAAGAATGAGGTTGGAGCAGGCATCCCCCTTCCTCACTGCTCATCCAGGGGAAATGTCAGCATCTCTTGGCTGCAGTGATCGTGCTCTGCAGGCCCAAGTTGCCTGTCCCAGCCCTCCCGTCACTGCTGTGCTGACGCCACTCGGCATGTCCCCTCAGCTCCCTCTAACTGCCCTGGTTCTGGTTCTTTTTCTGAGCAGGAAGATGAGGCCCCTCCCAGACCCCCACTCCCTGAGCTCTACAGCCCGGAGGACCAGCCCCCTGCTGTGCCACCTCTGCCCAGGGAGGCCACCGTCATCCGGCACACGTCAGTGAGGGGCCTCAAGCGGCAGTCGGACGAGAGGAAGAGAGACCGGGAGCAGGGGCAGTGTGTGAACGGGGACTCCAGGGTGAGTGGAGTGGACCCCTGGGGCTGCCCCGCTGCCTGTCGGGAGGGGGAGGGCGGCGTGGTGCTGGGCAGGTGTGACGTCCCAGCCTCTGCCCACAGGCGGAGCTCCGGTCATATGTGAGTGAGCCTGAGCTGGCGTCCTTCAGTGGGGACCAGGCCCAGCCCTCCCTGGGGCTCGTGGGCCCTGACAGCAGGTACCAGACGCTGCCAGGCAGAGGTAAGGCTGGACTTTCTAGGGGACTCTTTCTGGGACTCCCGCCACGACTGCACTACTGCTCCCGCCCTCACCCTGTCCTTCACACCCTTCTTCCCGCCTCTGTTAGGGGCTCTGGGCTGCAGGGAGAGCCCCAACCTTCCTCCTCTGGCTGACACCACAATTCTCTTCCTCTTACGTCTGTCCCCCAGAACAGTGGTGATAGCTGCTTTTTTGTAGACCCTTAATTAATAATCATAATAATCCTATGAAGGAAGTACTGTTATTCCCATTTAGAGATAAGAAAACCAGAGAAATTAAATAACTTGCTGACTAGCTGGTAAGTAACGGAGTCAGAATACAATCCCAGTCTCCTGGCTCCAGAGCCGCTGCACCCTGCAGGCTGGGGTTTCCCTCTTGTGTGTCACTCTAGGACTCAGTGAATCCTTTCCGCAATCCAGCACACATTTCTCCTCAGCTGGGCCACCTTCTCATTTCCTCCCCTATCCCTTCAAGATGGGAAGAGAATTAAGCCCTTAGACTCACCTGCAACTCATTTTTCCCCATAGCCAAGTGCTCAGAAGTCCCCCAAAAGAGAGGTCTCCCAACCTTCCTGCACACGGGCCTCCTGAGACCCCTCTGCAGACTGGCTGTGGTCCCTCAGCTTTTCTCACTTCTTGCTCCTATCTGCTCCCCAGGACTGGGGGGCGGGGGGTAGGTCACGTGCTTTCCCCCTTGGCCAAGGATGAAAGGGAAGGACACAGCTGTGGTTCCAGCACCTTTGGGGTGATGTGACTCCCAGCCCATCACACTGCCTGGATTGCTGCATCTTGATCTGGTCCCTGGAAGATGTAGGCTCTGGATTTTGCTGAGTTAGGGCTACAGCAGCCCTTGACACTGGGCTAGAGGACCCTGTTCCCTTCATTTATCACAGCCCAGAGGCCTTGATCAGTGGCAGTACTGGTGGTCTTTGGGCAGGACAATTCTTGGTTGCCTGGAATTCTCTGAGCCTTACAGGACATTTAACTCTTCCCATGCTAAACATGTGATGCCAGCTTCTAGATGTCAGGGACCACCCCTGACTAGAGTCGCTGGTAGTAGAGAAAGCACAGGCACTCACCAGCCGCCAGGTGAGAGGATTCCTCTACACCATAGAGCCCAGACATGGGAAGCCCCTGGTCGGCAACACCCCTATATGTGAACTTGGGTAAGTTCCTTGACCTCTCTAAGCCTAGTATCTGTACCTCTGCAATGGTCAAGTGAGGCTTGCTTAGGGCCATTGGGCAAGATCTATATCTAATATGCAGCACAGTGCCGACTTGGTACATAGTGACCGCTCCATAAATGCTCAGTGCCTTCCTCTTCCTTCATTTATTTATTCATTTGGTCAGCCATGGGTTGTTGATTGCACCATCTAGCTAGACAGGCGTGTTAACACTTGGCTACTGAAGAATATAGGGCATCGGTGGTCTGCCTGGGGCTTCTGAGAAGGTGTCACAGAGCAGACATCTGAGTTGGATCATGCAGGATGCAAGAGTTCAAAAGGAAGAAGGGAGGAAGGGCATTCCTTCCTCTCCCCGCTGCTTGACCAAGCAGCCCAGGTCTTCATGTGAGGGAAAGATAGGGTGGCCCACTGATCTACAGGGACAGAGGGCGCCCCGGGCTGGCCTCTCATCCCTCCCACCCTCTACCTGGGGCCTTGCTCTCCCAGGCTGTGGGCAGAAGAAGGGTGGGGGGTGACTGCATCCTTGTGGTTCCCTCCTGGAGTGGGAGGTGGTCAGGGAAGGGTAGTGACCTGTCGGCCCCACCACAAGTACACTTGCCTTTCTCTTTCTTCACTAAGGGCTCTCGGGGTCCACGTCACGGCTCCAGCAGTCTTCCACCATTGCGCCCTATGTCACCCTCCGGAGGGGTCTAAATGCCGAAAGCAGCAAGGTGACCTTCCCTGTGAGTGACCTGGGGAGTTCTTGAGGACTTGTTGCCCCCTTTTGCCCAGAGGGAGGGAGGGGCTCCAGGGTAGACATCCTGTGAGCCCTGGGGATAGCCTTCGAGGTGACTTCAGCCCCTCCTGAGCGCAGGTCTCTGTCCCAGGTGCTCACTGATGCCTTCCCCACTATCCACCAAGAAGGGCATCCCACTCCCCTTTCCATTTCCTGAGGACCCCCCCCCCACTTTTCTCTTTAGTCTGTCGGGCTCCTGGGGGAGCATCCTGTGTGCCATGTGTGCCCTGACTGGACAGACCTGGCCCAGTGTCTCCATCTGTAGAATGTATGCTGCCCCAGAAGCCCATGTGGGTCAGGGACATCATGTCCACTGGTGTGCTTCAAGGATGTGGTTTTATGGCCAGGAGCATCAGAGAGGCAGAGAGAGAGAGAGAGAGAGAGAGAGAGAGAGAGAATGTGAGAACGAATGTGAGAGACATAGACCAGCAATGAGCCAGCAGGTGGCTGTCTTCTGTGTCACCAGCCCAGCTGCTGTACCTCTTGCTTTCCTCCTCCTCAGAGACCCAAGAGTGCCTTGGAGCGCCTGTACTCAGGGGACCACCAGAGAGGCAAGATGAGCGCAGAGGAGCAGCTGGAACGCATGAAGCGACACCAGAAGGCCCTGGTCCGGGAGCGCAAGAAGACGCTGAGCCAAGGGGAGAGGACGGGCCTCTCCTCATCCCGCTACCTCAGCCAGCCGCTCCCTGGAGATCTCGGCTCAGTATGTTAGGAGGGTCCAGACAGGGGGTCGGGACAGGGAGCAGAGTTGCCCCGAGTCCTCACAACACAAGCATGTCACACCCCAGAGAGCGGGCCGTTGACCTGGATGGTTCAGAGAATACCCCGCGGGGCTGTTCTTCCACAGCCCAGGACATTGTGTGACCTGGTCAGGGGGTAACCTGGAACCAGATCAGGAGAGGGCATGTCACAGGAGGAGTCTGAGAAAACGGCCAAAGTCAGTTTTCCAAACTGAGCTTGAGAGAGGCCTTCGTAGGCATTCAAAGTCTCTAAGGCTGAATCAAGGACTAGGGGATACGGTTTAAGGAGTGTCAGAGGAAGATGGTGACATGATCTGATGAGGAGGAGGACAAGTCACCAAACTTTCAAACTTCTAGGTGGATGCCCTGAGCGCACGATGATGCGGGATAACCCTGACCCTGGTGGTGCTCACTGGCCTCATGGTGCCCCACGAGAACCCGGGTGCTGCCCCCTGGTGGTGCTTCCAGGCATTTACACCCTGCCCACAGTCGCCTTAGGCCCCTTTTGGAAATAATTCCATTTGACTCTTCCTGTTGTTTGAAATCAAGTGTCTCCTTAGACCTCTAGCCTGACTCTTCTTTCCCTAATTCATTGCACAAGCTCTTTTGCTTTTAGTGTCATACCGCTCATTGCCTCTCTAATCCTGCCTGATTGTGTTTACAGAAGCTTCTAATTTGCATTGAACATTCTCTCACTGGCCTGTGCTCTGTTACCAGGCTTATAATAACAATTCTTGTCGCCACAGCCTAGCAAGCACTCCCAAGTGTGCCTCCACTTTCTGCTGCCCCGTGGTTCAGGCCTACCAACTCATAATTCACTCACCCCCAAAGCTGTCCCACAAGGCTAAGCCTACCTGCTGCCTGAGGGCCGAGATCATTGGCACAGGTCTGGACATAATGAATTTATCAGAGTCCTTGCCTTAAACCCGCCCACCCGGACAGTAGGCATGGACTTTAGAGATTACACGTTTGAATAAATTCTACCAAGAATGAAGTTGTTGAGTTTTAATTTCTCCAGCCCCATGGCACATTTTCCTATGGAAAACCTTTTGTGTTTCTGGTACTTAATAACTGGAACGGCTAGTAAGATACACTGTGTTCTGTAGGGAGCGGCCTCTGCACTTAGACACCAAAGGAGTAAGACCCAGGCCACTCATACCCTGAAAAGCTACAAAGCTGGTAACCCTTAAACTTTATAAGCAAATGTCATATGGAGTAACACTGACGTTTTACAACATAATGTATCAATTGTGGAAAGATTATCTAAAATCATAACTGGAAAACCTTGTACATTTTCTCTGCTTCAACGCCAACAATAAACGTGTTGCTTAATGACTGTGGATTGGCGTGGTTCTTCCCCAGGATACATCGCAGTTCAGTGAACTGTTTCTGTAAGTGGAAGCAATCAGGCTGGGTTTCAATGAGGACGTGTCTCTATTTGGGACACTTGTGAGCGTGTAAGAAATTTTCTTTATGAATCATTTAATTTTTCATCCTTAAAACTTCAACCACCTAATCTTTTCATTGGAAACCATCATCCAAGAGTATGGCGAGCTTGTGCCTGAATGGGTGAAAGTGCTATGGACTTGGGGCTTTGTGGGTACTTAAGGGGCCAGCAAGGAAATCATGACCACTTGGGGCTCTGTGAGGTAGATGGGTGGGCAGGAGGGGTAACCAGGGATGGAGAAGCATCTGTGTGGCTTCCGCTCGGGAGAAGGACTTTGAGCCTATTCCTCCTTTTAACCTGCTGAGCACCCTGGGTCCGTGAGGACGTGGGCCAGGTGGGGGAGCCCAGCAGTTATGCTGGGATCTTAAAGTGGCCTGGTTTAAACTTTCCCTCTGTGAAGAGAGTTTTTTGCAAAGGGACTGCTTTTGGAAACATTGCCTTTAATTTAACATTTCAATTTTACATGGTTTGGGGCTTTATCCTAATGTATAGAAAACATCCGTCCCAATGAAGTGCTATGGATCTCAGCTGCTCTTCTGCCCCACTGCTCCCTGTGCCTCCCCCCTCACTACACAGTGTCCTCAGCCCAGATGTGCCCTGCTGGGAGTGCCCACTAGAGGGGCTCTTGGCTACTCTACATGTTTACTCGGACTCAAGGGACTTGTCTTTTCCATGATTCTGTGCTGGGACTTAGGACTTCTGAGCCAGAAAACTTTCCCCAAGCCATGGGGCCACAGAAGGGGTGACTCTTCTCTGGGGCTCTGTCGCAGGTTCTTTTTGAGGGTCATCCTCAGACCTGAGAGTCTCTTGTATTCCTGGGGGCCATTGTGAATCTACAGTCATGGATGACCTGTGCTCTGGGAGTGCATGTTTGACCCAGGGGATCCCAGGCCAGAGACAAATCAGCTGTCTGCTACCAGGCCTCGTTCTCCCATGCTCGGGGAGCTGCAGTGGCAGCAGGGCCCATCAGTACTACAAAACAGCTGACTTGTTTTAGAGCTGAGGAGGCTGAGGTCCATGGGCTTTTCCCTAATGGGCCATAGGCCAGTCTTCCAAAGGACCTCAGGGCCTGCAACACCCACCCAGAGGGGGCAGGCATGACACTGTGGTCAGGAAATGACTACATTTAACCCTCTTATTCTGTTGCCAGTGGAAGCGTGAGCAGGACTTTGACCTGCAGTTGCTGGAACGGGCCATGCAAGGGGAAAGAAAGGACAAGGAAGAGAATGGCTGGTTGAAAGTGCAGGCCATGCCTGTCACTGAGGTGGACCTGGAACCGCAGGACTATGACTTGGACATCAGCAGAGAGGTGAGGGCAGGGTTTCCTTCCTTCTCCCCAGCTCACCTACCTCCTGCCCCAGGAGGCACCGCCTTTGGGCTCCTAGCCGGGCCAACCCCCACAGTGGCAGCCAGGGTGTTCTCCTGAATTGGAGATAAAGCTGAGCTTTAGTGTGGCCCAGGAAAACAGAGGGCTAGCAGCTTCAGGCAACACAAGAAGTCAGGCAATAAAAGATCAGAGATTGTAGGCTCCAATCCATCTCTGTAATTTGGGGCAAGCCATTTAACGTCTCTCTGCCTCACTGTCCTTGACAGTAAAGGGGTTGTGAGGATTAAGCGACTCAGCATGTAGCCAGGAGAAGATCAGAAAGCCATGAGCATGGGGGCTGGCAGAGTATGCATGCAGACAGGTAGTTATTATTAAGGGTTCCCTGGAAACCCAGGGGAAAAGCAGCCTTGCAACTGAGCGGTCAAATTTTCTTGGGCAATCAGACTTAGAAACTGTGGGGCAGGTTTGAAAATGACAGGTGAAATTTCCACTGTGGCAGAGGTTGCTACACCTGTAGCCTCTGGTCTGAATTCTTCTGGCGCCCTCTGGTGGCTCAAATGCATCATGACTGAGCAGGCCCAGGAAACAGGTAACCCCCCTGGATGACTACCCCAGGGAAGAGAAAGGGAATTCAGAGGGTAACAGATTCCGGGTCTCCTGTGGCCTATGTTTATAAACTCCGCATGGCAGAGTCTATGGCTGTTAGGTTTGCCTTTGTGCACCTAGCATGAGGCCACATATAGTTGGTGCTCTGTGAATATTTGCTGATAGACCCTGATGGATAAATCACATGGTGGTCCATAGGTGTCACTTGTATGAGGGCTTGGCCTGCCCCGAAGTTGCAGAAGAGGAAATGCTCTCCCCATGCGAAGGACGGATTTAGCAGTGTAGGGGTGAATTGATGCTTATGGAGCTGCCGAGTGTGAGGATCAGCTGAGGTTCCAGGGATTACTGGGGTCAGTCCCCAGTTCTCAGATCTTTTCTCTTCAGCTCTTCTGAAATAGCCAAAGGTCTGTGCTTTCTCAGATTCGCAAAAGAAGCTTCCACACACTGCCTTGGCAGTGGAAGTCCTCTTTATAATGTCCTAATTGGTCTGCTAGCCAGGTGGAAAAAGTCCTTCCTTATCTCTAACCTAAATCCTACTTGCTACAATGTAATCTTCTTCCTTCCTCTGGATCTGCCCTCATTGGAAATAACAGAGAAGGGCTTATTTCTTGACATCTTTCCCTAGAATGAAAGGTCTGCTTTGGTTTAAATTTACTTCAGATTTGCCCTGGGGTTGGGTTTAACTTGCTTTTAGAAGTGTCAACCAACCTTATTTTCATGTGCTGCTGTAATTCAGGGAGGGAAAATTCCCTGGAGTGTGTGAAAGTTGTCTTTGGGATTCTTTTTTTTTTTTTTTTTTTAAAGATTTTTTTTTATTTATTTATACAAGCACTGGGTACAGTCAGAAGTGCGGGAGGGTGAGAGAATTCACCAGAGCCAGAGCAGGGAGCAGAGCAGGCAGAAGGACCGAAGTACACTGCTGAGGGGAGCAGCGGGCGGCAGGAGAGGTCAGCGCGCCATGTGGGACCCTCCTCCGGTGGCCAGGGAGCAGCCGGGGATTGAACCGGCACTGCAGAGGCTGCGGGCAGCTTTGCAACCCAGCGCTCAACCGCTGCGCCACCGGGGAGGCCCTGTCTTTGGGATTCTTAACCCAAGTAAGTTTTCACAAGCTGAGGTAGCCATTGGCTTCATGTGAGAGATGGGTGGGCCATTCTCCACAAAGCACTAGATAGAGCCTGGCAGTCTCCTGTCTAGATTAGAGGAGCTTTTGTAGGGACAGAAAGTACTGTTGCTTCCTCTCATCCAGCTGCCCCTCTGCCCACCCACCACCCCATCCAAGGATTATTTGCCGAGGGGCTACTAAGTGTCATGTCCCTGCACTAGACATTGGAGCGACAAACAGAAAATAGGAGGCAGTAATAGGGGCCGGTTGGCAGGGAGGGTCAGGGAAGGCTTCTGGTGGTAAGGTCGAAGGATGAGAAAGTCAGTGAAGCCAAAGGCCAAGCTTCCTGAGCAGAGGAAAGGGCAGGGTGGAGGCTGCGCAGTCAGTGAGGCTGGAGAGGTTGGCAGGGGTCAGACCAGGCAGGACCTTGAGGGCGGTGTTAAGGTATCACGCAATCCTGAGAAATTCTAGTCTAGTTGTGCTGTGCCCCTTCAGCAGTAGGAGTTTTTGGTATGCTGCAAAGATCACGACTCACAAAGGACTGTGCTGTAGTCTGAGCAAGGCTCTCACTCCTTTGGCTTGTGTGGTTCCTCGTGGAGGGGCCAGGGTGGGGGCGCAGGACCCACACCCAAACATCTAAGCCCTGCGTCTCCCTCCTCCTGGTCCTCTCCTCAGCTGTCCAAGCCAGAGAAGGTCTCAATTCCCGAGCGTTACGTGGAGCTGGACCCCGAAGAGCCACCCAGCCTTGAGGAGCTGCAGGCGCGGTATCGAAAAGCTGAGAAGATTCGCAATATCCTCACCCGGTCCAGGTCAGCCTCATACCCAGGTCTTAATAGCCCACTAGGCCTGATGCCCAGGGGTGTGAGAGGAACACAGGCCAGGCTGGCTCGGGTGTGTGTTCTGCTAGCCCCCCCCCCCCCAGTTCATTGCCTCGGTCATCTGGGAGGCCCTGCAATACTCAGAGTGGTCCCGTTCTCTGTCCTGTCACTCTGGCAAGTGTGGTGACAACTAGACACCTTGGAGATCAGCTCCGAGCATGACTGTCCCAGCCTGGGGGCCTGTATTCCCTCAAATAGAACTGTAGGCCAGAGCCAGGGTCCCCAGCCTTGTCTGAGGTGCCAGAGGCCTTACCCTCTTACCTGGAGGCCAGACAGGTCCTAGGTAGTGGCTTTCCTGTCCCCTTAGCCTCCATAGCTTCAGAAAATGGAACCTTGGTTTGTGTGAGCCTTCTTTTCCAAGCCAAATTAACTATTTCATACTGGATTGAACAAGATCTTAGAGGTAGAGCTCTTACTTTGAGGCCTGTGATTGCCCAAAAGAGGAACTAAGCCCAGACCGTTTGCGTATTCAGGGAGAGGCGGCACGCGTTACTCTAGAGAGAAGTGGACTGTTTTTATCTGATGCCACCCAAAAGAGTGAGAGCCTACAGGTCAGGGGGACCCCCCCGCCCCTCCTGAGGCAGGTGTCGGGGCTCTGAGGGCCTCACCCTCTCTCTGGCCTTCCTGCAGTATGTGCAACCTGCAGTCGACAGCAGGCCAGGACCGGAACAGCGTGGCCGACCTGGACTCACAGCTGCAGGAGCAGGAGCGCATCATCAACATCTCCTATGCCCTGGCCTCCGAGGCCTCGCAGCGCAGTAAGCAGGTGGCAGGTGAGTCCGGGGATGCCAGCCTCCAGAACCAGGTCCCACCCATTGCTCCCTGGGGCTCAGGGCCCAGCACTGCCAGTCAGGGAGTCAGTGGAAAAGCAGGTCTCGGGCTTATTTGTTGAGGCCAGTGTGTGTTCTCCAATTCCATGAGCACAGACTGGGCTGATGAGTTGGAGCAGACAGTGGGGGGCCTAGAGCTCAGGAGCTCAGGAAAGAGGCCTGGAGGAGGCGGGGCGAGGTGGGGGTGCATCTAGCTTATTCTTAAATCTGGCAGTGGTGCTGCTATTCAGGTTTTTCTGAGGTTGCTGTTATGAACAGGGTTTTCAGACCCCTGAGAGCAAGGGTCAAGGCTGAGGTTTCTGACCTCATGAAGAGCAAGTAGGAAAGCTACTGGTTTAAGGCACAAGGGGGTCCCTCTACTTTTACCTGGGATCCCTACTTTGGTCCCCAAGTCACCTTATCAGAGTAGTCTGTGCCAGAAAGCAGGACCTGGGAAGTGGAACTTTAATGACCAGTGGGAAAAAATCACATGGTGGGATATGAGAATGCCCCTGGCTGTGTGTGTGTGTGTGCGTGCGTGCGTGTTTTCTCTCAGCCAGGAACGAGACTCCTGACTTCTCCCTCCACCCAACTCCCCTCCCCAGGTGTGCATTCACTTTTCACCTCGTGCTGTCCCTCCCCAAATGCAGCTCCACTGCCTAGCAGGTGCCCTCAGCCAGGCATGCTCTAGGCCTTTTGGGGAGGGCAGACATAGGGCCTGACTGCTGTCACAGTCCCTGCCAGTCCTCCAACCTTGGCCCTAAAGGTGACCAAGACGGGCGTGCAGGGCCCTGAGGTGACTGGCCCCAGGATGTCTGTCTGGTTTGGGGATCAGGGCTTAAACATCACCTCAAGAGCTATGAGAGTGACCGAGGACAAGGGGAGGCCCCAGGGGCTCAGCAGAAGCCTGGTCTCTGTCTCCCACACCCTGAGCCTGCACAGAGTTCCCGACACCCCCACTGTCCTGATCCGCTTTGGTACATGCTGGGTAGACTGAGAAGTGGTCTGTGTGGGGACTTGGGGGACACTCAAGGGTTGGCCTAGATCCCTCTTTCTGATGGGCCCAGGGGCTCCTGTAACTCATCTCAGCAGTTTGAGCTCCTTCCCACATCAAGAGTTCCAGAGAGAGCTACTGCTCCCCCATTATAAAGTGCCTCCCCTCTGGCCTGTGCTTGCTCTGCCTGTGTGGGCCTACTGTCCTCAGCTTCCTCACCACAGCAGACGAGCATGCCCCGACCCCAACACTCTGATCAGTCAGCAGGTCTCCTCACTTCCCCGCTGTGTGGTCACCTGTGCTGCCCCCTTTCTGCACTTTTGCTCCCTCTCTGTCTCAGAGACATATCTGGGAACTGCAGGCCAATCCCAGCCAGACCGATGGATATGCCCCCCTAAGCCCAGGCCTTTAGTGGTAGACAGCGAGGCCAATACCACCCAGCCCTGCCAAGTGGGGTATCTGGTGCTGCAGGAGCAGACAAGGGGCCTAACACACTGCTTAATTCCTGTATGCCCGTCTAGCGCAGCAGCTGGCCCTCCTCCCGCCTAAAGGCCCCCTGTCCTCCAGGACGGTGCCACCTTACTCCCCTTTAAGCAACGGACTCCACTACACCTTTGTCTAACACCTGCCAAGTAAGAGCCCTGCTGGCGTGCCCCCCTCACGTAGTTCTGAGCATGCCCCCCACCCCCCATCCTGCTGCTGTTGATGCTTCCTTCCCTTGGCAAAGCGGCCGCTGGGGAAACCGCCCTGACTGGTAGGCAGGTGGCGTTTCTTAGGGACTCAGTCCTCAGGAGCTCAGCTATAATAGAGAGCGTAGATCCAAGCTCACTGCCTCCTGAGTTCCCAGGTGCCAGGACTGTGCCCTCCACCCTGCTCTCCTTTCCACAGGTGCCCCGCCCCTGCAACCATGGGGCCAGCGCAGGCTAGACTGCCAGGCCAGGGAGATTGAAAAGGAAGAGTTTGATCTCGGCACCTCGGTGCTTTGGCCAAAGAAATCAAAATACTGGAAAACTAGAAAAAGTCCAGCTTTACAGAATAGGAAACGGGCGCAGTGAGGGGCTGGAGACCCCCTCTGGATCCTGTGGAAGTGGTGTCAGAGAAGGACTAGGCCCCGTGGTGGCCACTTGAACACCTTAGGAGGGAGGAGGAGGTTGCTGCAGGGAGGTTGCCCAGGAGACGTGAACGGGACCCTCGGTCTCTCAGAACACCCAGTGCCACCCTTCCAAGTCTTCCCCTTAGTGAAAAGAGATGCTTAGTGAGGAGAGGCGACGCGGATTGTAGGAGCAGCCCTGCACCCGGCGGCAGGAGGCCAGGTCTTGTGGTCTGGTGGTGAGTTCTGGGCCTTGGCCCATTGCTCCCAAGCCCTGTCACTTGCCTGCAGTCTCAGTCAGCCTTTCGACATCCCACCTCGCTGCCGTGCCCCTCTCTTCACTCTGCAGACACGGAGGTTAATGTTGCATGCCCAGGAGTTGTGTTAAGCCACTCCTCCGAGCCTCACAGCAGCCTTTGAAGATGTCCACCCCCATTTTACAGATAAGGACACAAAGCTCAGAAACCTTGAGGGTCTTGCTCAGGAAGTTGCAGCTCAAGTGTCAGAGGCAGGGTCTGAACCCCTGTAGTGGGAGCTCAGGACCTCTGTTCATCACCCCCTGTGGACTCATCTGGGCCACCCCCAGGAGCTCTAAGTCTTTGGAGACAGGAGTGAAGTGTCAGGGATGAGGAATGTATGTGTTGGTGTGTTTGGCAGGTGCCCCAGCCTGGGAGGAGAGTCCCGCTCCCCATGTGTGGGCCTGCCGGGAAGTGTGGAGCAGGCCTGCCACTGAGGCCCTGCAGGGAAATGCCCCATTGGGGCCTGCCACAGTGGGGTGTGTGGGTTTCTCTTGGAAATCTGCACTTGGAGAATATCACTCCGGCCACAGAGAAGCAGAGAAGGCTCTGTTCCTCCTGACTTTGGCGCTCCCACTGGCCCCCCCAGCTGTGAGATAGACCTTTAATTAAGAGCACATCCAAATTTCCTCTTACTTTCCAGCACCCTCATTAGAAGATGGCTATGATCACCCAGTTTTTAGATTTCAAAGTGAAGCCCATGGTGGCTGAGAGAGTTACTCAAAGACAATGCAGTGAGTGAAGGTAGGGCCAAAACAGGACCCCACAGACCTCTTTGCTCAGGCTTTGTGCTCAGCCTTTTTGCCTTATCAGAGCAAAGACCCAGTCTCGGAGCCAGCTTGAATCTGATAACCTTCGTAGAAGTGGTAGGGGTGGAGGGAAACTAAGGGTTCCTTTCCCCCCACAACACAGCGGCCGCATTGCCCCAACCCCCTGTTCTGCTGCTCTCTGTCATGTCAGCCTGCGTTCCCCATCACATATGTGCACAGACATGCCCACCACCTGCTCCCAGATGTGGTCAGGGTCCCGCCAGCCTCTCATCATCTCCTATGCTTTTTGCCAGCCCAGGCAGTGACTGACCCGTGACCCAACAAGCAGAAGGACAAGCCTGGCACCAGGGGCCCAGTGGAACCAGCTTCCTCCGAGAAGACTGAGCTTTCTTCCCCAGAAGGAAAGCCCTTCCAGCTCAGCAGGGGTTCCTCCTGAAGGATGGAGCAGCCCTCCAGGAGCAGCCCCTCCCCCCCACAACTGAGGGATGGTCACCCTAGGGCTACATCCTCACAGCCCTCCCCCACACTTGTTTTAGTTCAGCCTCCTTTTTACATTTGACAAAGGCACTTTTGATACTGTAAATTACTGACATTGTATTTTAGAATCAGAATATATTTTATAATGTTCACCTCAAGGGCTGAGTGACTGCAAAGGTGAGGATTGGGATTTGGAAGCTGCGCATATAGATTCAGTTACCACTGTGTGGAAGGTGTGGGTGGGGGGAGAAGGGCAGTCCATTGTGTGATGAACTCAGGTGAAGGTTGGATTTGAGAATGTGCTTCCAATAGATTCCAGCATTAGGCTCGTCGTGCTTGCGGAGGAGAGGGGGTGCTTGGCTTCAGAAATCAGCCCCTTGAGCTGGCCTGATGAGCACCTCTGGGGTGTGAAACTCCACTGAGCTGGCACGCAGAGCCAAGCCTGTGCCTTGACCCTTGGGTTTGGTGTAGGGACAACAGTATGTTCCAGAACTTTGGCTGCTCCCCGAACCACCCATGAGATTCTCTCAGCAAAGGACTCTTCTCAGAAAGAAAGAAGCAGTCTGCTTTGATTTTAAAAATACTTTGAAATGCAGAGAAGGTGAGAGGAAGTACTTTTTATTGTATCATAAGCAATAAACCCCACACTGGGTGGCGTCTACCTAAAGTTTCTGACTGCACACCAAGCTGTGGCAACACTCCTGGGACCTTCGTCGCCTGCCCTGGTGAACCTAGGTCAGCTTCCCTGGGACTTGGGGCTGGTGGCAGAAGGTGGGCCGTGGACCCCACTGATGGCGGCGGCCAGCAGGGGCAGGATGGCGGGACTTTGGCCTGACTTCCACCTTGAAATGAGCCAGGGAGGGCTGACAAGCCAGGCATGGGATGTTTGTGGTCCTTTGTTCAAGTCATGAGTTCATGATCTCTGCATACAGCAAATGATATTTAAAAGGAAAACAAAAAACAAAAAACCTCCATTGGGTGGAGCCACACTTTAAATGAAAATCTGTAACTATAGTCAGAAAAAAAAATATATTTAGAAGTTGCTGTCTATTTTTAACTAACTCCATATGCTGCCAGTATCGACTTCATGACATTTGCCAAAACAAGATTTTATTTTTGCCTTTATAAGATTTTGTTGGAAAAATGAAATGAATATTTTGCAAGAAAAAGTTAATTTAAATAAAAGTGTAATGGTTTGCAAAAAAAAAAGTGAGATACAGATTAAAATATTAACCTAATATGCTTGCTGCTTCCTGCTGGCTCTGTGAGTAGCCTTGTGTCAGCTTTTCCCCCATTTCTTTGGAAAACCCCCACTGTCAGCTCTTGACTCTGAAGACTTCTCCTTGTGTTTGCCTCTGAAGACTTCTCCTCATGACATCTCCTCGACACTTGATCAACTTTGGAGGCCTGGGGGGGAAAGGCCTGTGGTCTCCGGCCCTTGGCTGGGTTTCAGCAGCTGCTCAGGTGGTCTCTCCTCCACCCACCCTGTGGGGGAGCTTCTCGGCTGTGGGCTCTGGTGTGGGGCTGGTTTGGCAGGCAGAGTGCAATCCAAGATAGCAGGAGGGAAATCACGGGCCCCCTTCCAGCCCACACACCACCCACTCATTCCAATGAAGCGGGTTAGTGCCGGATCATTACAGACGGGATTTGTATTTAATTCGTCTTGACTTGTGATGTATGCTTAAAAAAAGAAGGCAGAGGCCAGTTCAGTTTAGGGATGTGTATGTTTCCAAATTTGTTTTTAGGGCATTTTTTTCTATTGCCAAGAAGATCACCGGAGGTTTAGAGTGACTTTCCAACTATTTAAACTGGGGAAAATAAATTCCAGGGCTTACAGAACAGAAGACACCGCTGCTTTTTTTTTTTTTTTTTTTTTTTAACCTACTGATCTCTTTTGGAATTTTAAAATAAAAATGCCCCCTCCATGTTAAGAGTTACAGATATCTCCATAACAGATGAAAGGGGGTGTGTATGGGTGAGGGGAAGGTTTCTCCATAACCGAGTGCCAAGGAGGGGGGAACACACAGGAGGTAGTAGCCATAGCTGTAGACATTTTCTTAATGAGAACACATGTCTTTCTTATGGTTAGTCTCAGTTTGTTTCACACATACAATCCTGTGTAGGAGCACATGGTGACGAAGTGCTCCAGTGGGGAGGTGGGGTAGCCTGTCCCAGAAGAATCCTGGCCCAAATTTCAATCTACAGGGAGCTTGACAGGTCTTCAGTGGACTCAGATTCCATGAAGATCACGTGTGGCTTAGAAAAGATGTGCTGCAGCCACTGCATGTGTCAGCGGGCACCACGGCACGGCTCCATCCTCAACCCCCTCCAGAGCACTCCTTACCTGAGGTAAGACGGGGCCCTCTGTGATGAGACTGGCTGGGCAGGGCCCCATGTGGGATACTCCACGTGGCCAGTGATTCCAGCCCTGCTGCTTTACACAGGACCGCAGGGCCCGAGCCGAGTTTTGAACAATGAGATGGCAGTTGACAAAGGGACATGAAAAACATGTCCCGCATCCTCTCGCTGTCCACTCCTGAATTTTGACTCTAACCAGGTCCAGGTTGCGCCCAGGCTGTCCAGAATATTAGAAAAATCCATGAGAACGTTTTAGGATCTTGTCTAAAACAGGCCTGGGAATAATCTTTTCCCGGTCTGCATTCGCGCCTCCTGAGCTGGCCAGCTTCTCGGCATGTCCAGGCCATTGTTGATGTGGTCAAAGGTGAGATGCCTACATGTGCGAGTGCACTTCAAGTAGATGTGCCCGGACTCATGGCGATGCTGAAGATGAGTGTTGGTTTGCTCCCTGTCATTCATTTTCCTCAGGAGACAGGGAAGAGGCTCCCTGCCTAGTGTCTGACTATGGAGTGAAAATTGTTCCTATCCTCTTACCCTCCCTATAACCCTTTCAGTTGGGTCCTTCAGAATTTTCCTGGCCATTGGTTGGAAGCTTCTACTTGCCCAACGTTAGCTTGGTGATGGATGACAGGAGCTGGGGGGTGGGGAGCGGACCAGATCGTGAACATTGCTCAGCTCAACAAGAGCCCAATTGGAGCTTTAGAAGTTCCCCCAACCGTGGTACCACATCCCATGGCAAGTCCTTTTGTGTTCGCACCAAGGGTGGGAAAGAAGAGCAAATTATTTGTCTAATCCACAAATCACATTTCTGAGACTTGGCAGGCAAATGCTCGGAGGCCTCTGCTTTGGATTCAGCATCAGACATGGGTGTGCGAGGGACTGTGCCCATGTGTGTTGCATGCTGTTATGAAAAGAACAGAGAGACAAGGCTGGGGGGGACGGGAAAAATGGCAACCCCTCCCTGCCCAGTAAACATGCCACTGCTCTGCCGTCTCCACTCCAAAGGCTACCACTTTCATTGCTCTCCGAGCAAAGAAACCTTTCTTCAGAGTGAGTGGCGGGTACAAAGGCAGAGCACAAAATGCGTGCACATCACAGTCCCTGCAATTCTGTTTGAACAAGCATATTGATTGGGTCTGACCCTGTTACATTTTTTCCCTATTATTTGAAAAGGTGCATCTAAGTGTGGTGAATTGAACCAGCAGAGCTGAACTTTCCATGAAAACTTCTCGAGGTATTTCTTTAGTTCAAAGCTTTTGAATTTTAAAGGGCATTTTTAATATGAGTCTGTTGAGTATTCTGTGCCACAGCCCAACAAGAGATGTTAAATGCAGATGAGGCTGGAGGGAGGGCACACGTGGGGGTGGACAGGCCGGCAGAGTGGAGGAGCGAACCCGCCCAGGAAGGGCTGTGCTTTGGGGAGAGAGGCAGAGGCACACAGAGACCCTCAAGGGGACCCCTCTGAGCACAATGGGAGCATCTTAGGGGAAAAGGAAGAGGCTTCTCAGCTGAGCTTCTCAAAGACATAGTGAGCCGAAGGTACTTGCTAGGGCTTCCTTCTGCTGCATGAGGGTTGCCTCATGAACAAGGATCTCCTTACTGCTCAGCCACCTGCTTTCCCTCACACTCTGCTTTAGAACTGAGAAGAAATGAGAGACAGTCTCTTGGTTGAGGTTACAGAGTCAGGAAACTGCCAACGTCCTTAGCCCTGGGTTGACATCACAAATCAGTCCCAGATGCTGCCAGACCTTTTGAGGAGTAGGTGTGGAATTGGCACAGGGTCACTTCCTGCACATTCTTGACCAAGGCAAGACACAGGGCCAGCCAGATTTATAGAGTTGCAGCAGGATGCATGCACAGGAAGGCAAGAAATGGGCAGTGGACATCTTCAGAGATTATTTACCACAAGACTCCTTCCTCATTCTCATGAAGCAGCTAAGAGCCAGGGCATGTCTTCCAGCTTTCTCTTCCTCTGCAGCGGCCACCTGCAAGTCACGAATTTTGGATAGTGTAACCACAGGATGCAAGCTGACAGCCCTCAGTCTTTGCCGAGGAGAGGCCCCAAGACCATAGCTAATTACATGAGGGAATTACTTTGATGTATCCATCTCCTGTGATTTTAGCCTCAATTTTCTACTAGTATAACCTAACCTACCAGGTCATCACCATTCCCATGCTCTAGCTGTCAAAGTGAGGGCGTGATGGTTCCAAGACTAATAAGTGACTGAGTTGAAGTTTGAAGGTGTATCTGACTCCAGAAAGCTTTTAACCACTACATGGACTGCTGTAACTTTGGAAAGAGGAAACGGAGGGCTTAAACAGTCTTTGGGCCTGGATTCTGGGTCAGGTGAGATAGGATCACCTTTAGTGGGAACAGTGAGCTCACAGCCTGAAGGCAGACCCCCACACAGTACCCCTCCTCACAGTACCTAGTGAGGAGGAGGTGCTCAGGGATTGCAAGCTGATTTGATTTGCACACCTGAGCATCACTTGGACATCCCATGGACAGGTATTACTTGTATACTTGACCTTGTCATTGGCCTCTGGGCTTTGGAGGTCAGAAACAAGATTTATCAGCACCAACTGGTGTTGAGTTGGTCAGGTTACTGGTGTTCACTGACACACCCAGTTCTGCCCCAGGGGGGAGCCAAATCCTTCTTGGAAGGTTGTGCAGCAGCCTTTGGATCAAAGCAATCTTTGAGAGTCCTGGGGTCATTGAGTAGCATCCACTTGGGGTCCTATCTCAAAGACACTGCAGAGGACCCCAGCATCTACTTGGGGTTCTATCTTGAAGGCACAGACCTGGTGCCCAAGTTTCTAGACCTCTCTGGGGTCAGAATAAGATGGCACTGCCCTCTTCTGTGTGACCATGACTGGTCATCCCTTTTCAGTAGGTTGATACTGTGGGAAGGAGCTGGGCTACCTGGAATCAAATCCTGGTTGGATCATTCTGCAGGCCCTGTGACCTTAGTGGCGTTATTTACCTCTGGTGCCCTAGGGCTCATGGCCCTGTAGAAAGCACTGGGAAAAAATACACATGTAGCTTATCACGTACTTGCATCAAAGTTACAATCATTTAGCATGTCGCACACTAGGATTCCCTTATTTACTTGTTTATTGCCTGTCTCCCACACAAGACATAAACTTCATGAGAGCAAGCACATTGTCTTCTCTATATTATTCCTAGTGTTCAGAACAATGAGCCACAAATAAGATACTAAGAAATAATTTGTTGAATAAATGAAACAATGACTAGAAGAAATCAGGGACTGTTGGCCAGAGTCTTCTTCTTGTCAGATGACCCTGCCCATCTCTGTGCTGTTGAGTGTTTTGTACTCTGCCCCTCAGAGGTCACCCCTAGGTCCCTATTTTTAAGTTGCTTTAATAGTCAGGTAAGAACAGGATTGTGGAATTCAAATCTACCGCTGTTAACTCTGACTTTAGACAAACCTTTGAATCTCCAAAAGCTTTAGTTTCCTCCTCTGAAAAAAATGGGGACAAGGGCACTTGCCTTGCGTGGGTGATGGTGTGGCTGAAACAAGCTTCCTTAAGCAGAGCCCCTGACATGGGAGAGCCAATTAATGGTCGCCGCGTTGGTTTGCCCTCGTGTGTGATCCTTGTTTTGAGCAGTGGACCTCCGGGTGATGGTCTCACATTTAAATCCCATCTCTTTCCCCTGCTTTGGAAGGATAAATAGGTTTGGGGTCATTTGCCCTCACTGTCTGTGTGCTATTTTAGACAGTTGCCTGAAGCAAGTAAAGCAATGGTCCAGGGCTTTTGAAGCTGGGGTTCGAAGGCTGTGCCACTGCCTAGCTGTCTCCCTGAACTCTCCGGGGAATGAGGACAGGCCAATCCTCTGAGGCTTCCCCTG